TCGCTGGATGCTCGCCGGTGATGATTGCTGCGGACTGAGGTATTGCGTTTCAGACCAGAATCGTTGGACGATACTTGGGCTACACGGCCCATGTTGTTCAGCAGAGATGGTCCTTCTGTGAACGGGCCTGACGGTTCGCGAGCCTGTAGAGCGGCTTGACGTTGCGTGTAGCTACGTCCAAGAAGGCCGCTCGAAGCAAACGCCTCCTCGCCTTGCTGATCGACACTTCGACTCCGGCTACTGGGCGGTGAAGTACTTTCTGCGACCAGACCACTCTTGCTGAAGGCGGTTGGAGGTGGTTGCTTTACCCGTATCGACTTCATCCGCGAGTGCATTGCCCTGCTATCGAGCTTGGAAAGAGGTTTGTCGTCTGGGAACTCTCCCGGTTTGTGAACTTCGATCTGGTCCAGCGTCTTGTTGAAACTGTCCATATCGAGCAAGGACGAGAAAGCACCGAGCTGGTAATGCGACCCAACTGATTCTCCTCTTGAATGCGAGGACGTCTGTGCGGCTTCAGCAGCCCCGGACACATTGCGTGTCGCATGAGTCTTCTTCTTCAAACCCTCGCCCTTCTGGTGTTTGAGATACCAGCTCCGCCAAGTCTGTAACGCTGTATAGAACGTGTTCGCTATGTTTCGGTCGTTGGTACAGAAGAAGTGAACATACTGCGATTCGTCCGCAAAGATGTTGGACTTTTGCATACTCTTGACGGCGTAGCAAATCTTCTTTGGGGGCTTCACCCGTGCCAGCTTGGACTGGGTCACCGAGTAGATGTCGTAGTCTGTGAGAGTGCAGATGTTTTCCTGGTCCTTTTCCTTGGTCTTTTCGTTCTTGGCCATGACTAGTTGTCCGTCTGGACGAAGGATGAGAAGTCGTTTACTCCATTTCCCAGGTCTCGATGAGTATTGGATAAAGCACGAAGCCCCCTCTGGTCTGGTGTCTGGGACTTTGTACGAGAGTAGACTGTCCTGGTCGATACCATCGACATCAGAGTCAATGATGGTAAGTTCGTTCTGATTGTCGTAATCCCAGGAGTTCATCACATCTCTCACGTACTCGTAGTTGCGAAGGGGGCGTGTGATGCTAACCTTGGTGAAGAGCTCGGAGATAACAGCTGTGCGAACGTCAATGGGATCTGTGAGCACCGTGGCGGCAGACTTGATAAGATCGAGAGGAGTCGTGGTTGGAGTCACAGGGAGCAGGATGCGCTTCTCGTTGCACACGACTTTAACGCGCTATTACGGCTGTTAGTCGCATGTTCGTGTTTGACGAATGGTGTACATACTCTATCACCAGCGTTCACGGCGGATGTAGGCGCATCGATGCCTAGAACAACGCCACCTCCACCGGGTCTGATGGTATCCTCCTCTCCGAAATTAAGACTCAGTTGCGGTGCAGTTGGTTGTTGCACAGGGGCATCTAGACCCAAAGCTTCATCCTTTCTCCTCTTGAACATTCCAAAACCTGTCTCCTGCTGTCGCGGTGGCGATACTGGAGGTGAAGAAGAGGGCGCTTTTCGGGCCTTCTGCTCAAGCTTTGCGAGGGTTGCCTGCCGCTCCTTCTCTTCGACCTTCGCCTTGCGGACGCCCTCTTCCCTTTGTTGGAGGACTTTCTGGTTCTCGGCCTTCTGTAATCGTCTGCCACGTTCTTGTTCGGCCTTTTGTTCCTCCCTCTGCCGACGCAGGGCCTCGGCTTCTTCCATCTCTCGTTGGGCGTCTAAGCGCGCAGCTTCTTCCTCTTCGTGTCGCATCCTCTCGATTCTGTCCAGCTCGGCCTGCTTAGCCTGCTTCTGTGCGCGCGCCTCTGCCTCATATTTTTCTTTGAGCTGTCGCTGTCTCTCCTTCTCCCGCTGCAAAACCTCTCTCGCGCTGTCATCGCCTCTGAGCGACTGCTGGCGCGGCGCATTGGAGACGGGTGGTGAGGCCTCTGTCGTGCGAGTTCTGGCGGTCCTGGGCCGACGCTGGCCGGTGTTTGCGGAATGCGACGATTGGTACGGCGAACTCACAGCGCGGTTCCGAGATGTAGAGGGCGTGGAGGGCGGTACTTGCGCGGGAAGGGGAGGAGGGGCATTTGGAATTGTGTTCGAACGGAGCGGTGGGGGGTTTGGGCTGGTCGCGTGCGAAGTAGTCGGTCTGCGGTGGTAGCGGCTCATGCTCCTGCTGATGGGCGCATCGCTTTGGGGCTGCATTTCGGACACGGCGGGCATGGGAGGCACTGCGGGCACGTCTGGCGAAGTGTGGTGTTGCTGTTCTTGCGCGCGCCTCACACTCCTATAGCGCGACATCTTGGGGGCTGCCGCCGCCGACGAGGGGATTGTTTCCGTGGCCATGTTGTGCTCGGCTGCTGTGCGACACGACTCTGCGTGCCTGTGCGACGACAAGTAAGGGACATAGGAGACAGAGGCTGGAGGGCATACACCAAGCAAGTGAGGGGGAGCGGCGCAGGGAGGGTGGGAAGAAGCAACAGGGAGCGGCAGGTGCACACGGATACTCGGCTGTTTAATTCATGAGATTCCAGTACCTAAGTCCAATCACTACGTCAAGCAAGCGACCCAGTCTTGCACCGTCGCAATGGAGGTGGTCCTCTCAGGGGGACAAGGTTGGCTGGACTCTTACTTGATGCAGCAAGGGCGCCCGTTGTGGCGCTAACAATAGCTGGGCCGGGGCAGCTGCGTGTTTGGCCATGCCCGCCTAGCTGTTTCGGCCAATCTAGCCGCACACCCGCCGCAAGTACCGCCCTGCCGCGCATTATTATTACACTTTGCCATGCATCAGCCACAGCAGCCCTGTTTGTGTAGTCTCTCGGCTTTACATTGCCAATAATTTCGGTTGTGGGTGTCTGATAAAACTTGGAACCTACTTCACACCACGCTGGACTTGGAACGTTAGTGTCCATTGTTTGTAATCTTGCAGCAACCTAGGAAAATAGCACGATGGACTGAGCCAAGTGAGAATGAAATATTGAAAGGTCTAGCTACATTCGCGAGAAGTGAACTAAAGAGTGAAGAGAATGATGTCAATTGGGTGACAGAACCTACTTCTCCAGCTACAAGAGTCTCTACTGCGTTTACACAGTACTGCATTTCACTATGTGGACATGCCCCAATCACCTAGGTAGATGCCACTAACATACGCTCTTCTCCCTCTCCCACATCTCCTCTGCCTACCAAACATGGCTCGGAAGACCCAGCTTTTGTTTGCGGGTTTCTCGATTCTTGCTCTGATTTACCTGTTCTGCCATAACCCCTACGCCTACATATCCAGCACATCGCACTTTCAGCAACCTCCACCTCCCCTCCCACCAGCCAATTCCACTCTCGGTTTTGGTGCTATCCTTGCAGTATCACACTCCAGCTCACCACGACGACCCAGCCTACTATGGGCTGCCAACCTAACAGATATCGAGATTGTGATTCCTCGGCAGAAGGAGTGGGGTGTGGGTGATGTCGAGAAGCTGAAGACGAAGGAAGGTAGTAGTCTAAGCACTGGAAGTGCGAAAGCCTGGTTGGGACATTTGGAGGTTTTGAGATGGTACGTCGGTTTGAAGAGGTCAATGATGGAGAACAATGTATTGATGACATGACAGGTTTCTCGCCTCAAGCCACGAGGCAGCTCTAATCATCGAAGACGACACTGATTTCGACATCTTCATCCGACAATCCCAGGTTCCACTCCTGGCATCCGCTGTCCGCTCTTTGCTCGACAAGGGTGTCACTGACGACTCATCATCATCATACTGGGCTTCAACCACCAGCTGGGACCTCCTCTACCCCGGCCACTGCGACGACTTGATCTCCACGGCCTACCTCTCCCAGCCTTCCCTTCTGTACCGCGATCCTACCGTGCCTCCCACTCCCCTCCTCCACCCAGACACCGCTCTTTTTCTCTCCTCTCTATCTATACCATCAAAAGCTCGGTTGCTACACAGAAGCTTTTGGCCGTTCTGCACATTTGCCTACGCCGTGAACCGCCGGTCTGCCGCCATGATCCTCTCTACCTACTCCAAGGAACCGGAAGGTGGCAGTTCGGCATACGATGTTGCCCTGTTGAGCGCGTGTAGGGACCTAGATTGGAAGTGTTGGAGTGTAGCTCCGGAATTGTTCCATCACGGACTTGGGCATTCGGAGATATTTAGGGCAGACACAGAGGGTGAGAAGAACAGGGAAGAGAGAGACGGGAGGGGGAGGGTGAGGGGAACCTGGAATTTGGGTTGTGGGGCTAGGCATAGGCAGTTGTGGGTTAAGGAGACAGATGAAGAAATGAGGAGTCTGGTCAAGGAGAGCGTGAGGAGTGCAATTCAGAGTGGAGAATGTCCGATTGATGCGGTCATGGAGGAGGAGAGTTGGAAGGGATGTGAGTATGGAGAATGTGGGGCACAGTCCTGATTCTGCTTGATCACCCTTCATCTTTCTGATGACACGCCCTGGCCTATAGACTCATCTTAATACTTGATCACCACGTGCAAGCGAAAACCTGAACGCTGCAGTCAATCCGAAAGTTGGCGAACTCTTCACATAACGTAGACCCCTTGGGTATTAAGGTATATCAGGTGCTGTAAGTGAGTGTTCGATTTCTTTTCTTTGTCATGAGTTGTGGTCACATGTAGGGCTGGCCAGGTGATCCCGTAGTATAAGAACGCCATGTCAAGTTACAGCATCACAGCATTGATAGCAAGCGCATGCGTTGATACGTAGATGGCGACGAGATCCCAGATCCCGCCGCTTTTCGAGGCTTTTGCAGCTATCTCTTATCTACAGATAGCCAAACATACCCCGTGTCCCACGTTAAAGGTATCTTCGTTCGTGCCATCCGAATATTCCAACGTCAATGATTCGTCCAAAAATCGCACCGTACCCCTATAAGATCAAAAATGAACTCCAGTTGGTATCTTACAAAGATCGCCTATGAAGGAAAAGAAGAATGGACGGGTATCCAGAAGTGTGAAGTGAAAGAAGTATGCAAGCAAGGGAACAAGAGCGATGCAGGTTGCAGTCGCCCGACTCATCGCCAGAGGTCCGCCCTCGAGGCCCGCTTCTCGCGACCTGCATGGCTCATCCAGCTGGCGCGTGGACTAGGCTCCCTGCCGCCAAGCGAGTTGGAGTAGCCGTGTCCGAAGCCTCCACTAGGCGCCATGTGTCCCGCACTCCGTGGTCTTCCATCGTTGTCTGCAGGCACGGCCAAGAAACCTCCAAATCCATTTGGTACCACAATACTTTTACGAGCATCTCCACCCCATTGGGGCCCGAGGCCCTTGTGTGCTGAGTAGCTGCTCAATGGCCGACCGACTGAGACTGATGCTCGGCGTCCCTGTGCCTCAGGCGGCATGATGGATGTGAAGATCCAGTCTAACTCATCCAGACCCTTGGAGTAGACTTCGAGGGGCTGGTTGAACATTGGCGGCGGTGCCTCGCTGAACGGTCGGATCGGTGGCGCGAGCGTCAAGACCTCTGGGAATTCGGGATCGCGCACGTAGAGCTGTCGCAGCGCCGGCATGCAGTTCGCAATGAGCGAGTTGGCTAGGTACTGGTAGCACGATGCACTAGGCGGGTAGGCTTGATGGGCGGAGCTGGAGATGACCTCGAAATGCAGCTTGTGTAGCGTGTACGACGTCATGGGTGGTATCGGGTCCAAAGGAAGAGATGCAGAGACTGTGGCGTTGTATTCCAGCGTTCGTAGGGTGACTGCAGCCTGCAGAATGATGTGGAGGGAGGGTACGGGAATGCCACCGCAATCTTTCAATATGAGGGTCCGCAGCCTGCCGCTGCACATTGGGTTGTAGAGGTACTGTGCGAGTCCGTTTGCGGTGACACCGTGTACCTTGGTGAGTTTCAGAGTTTCTAGCGCAGGGAAGTTGGGGATCCCCGGGGCGTCGTGGAAGGTCGAGTCGTTCAGCCACGAGACGCCGGTGATGGTGAGCTCCTTCAAGTGAGGCAGCACGCCGAAGACCTGCCTCAGGATGCTGGGCTCTATCTGGATCTTGTTGAGCTCAACCGAGATCAGCTCCTGCCAGTAGCCCTGGAGGAGCGTCTCTAGCGACTGCTCTCCGCCCTCGTTGTACTTCATCTTCCGGATGTGTGGGCAACGCGCCTGCAGCTCCTGACGCAGCAATTGGCACGACTGATCGCCATTGTAGAAGCCGTCCGGGAGGTCGATGAACTCGATGTTCGGGCAGCCCGATACGGTTCGCGCGAGGTCAGCCTTGCACGCCTCGCGCGTCATGTAAGGAAGCTTGATGAAGCGCACGCGCTGGCCGAGGTATTGGTTTCCACGCACACTCTGGCCCAGCTGCTGCAGCCGGAGCGTGGGCGCGTCGATGTCCTCGCCGTTTCGTGACTTGCGCCGGCGCTGGTCGGCGTAGACCTCCTCGAGCTCGCAATAGTGGACGGCATCAATGCGAATGCTGTTGTATCTGGGGCACGTTAGGGGGTAGCCTGGTGCACTGAGCATGTGGGACTTACAGGAGACCGGCAGCAACACCGTACCATTGTCGCTTGGTCAGGGCACAATGGGCCAGGTCGCGCATGTCACAACTCATGCAGCCGTCATTGCCGCTGTCCTCGCTGCCGTCGAGGGATTCATCGGCCGAATGCGGACAGACTTCTTCGAAGATGCGGCGGAGGACCTTATCGGGCAGGCGTTGGGTCTGGTCGGGGCCGTGGTAGTCATATACTGCGGGGGCGTAGAGGTCGTTGCGCGGACGCGACTCGCTCTTCTTGGAGGCTTTTTGGCGGCGGAAGCGCTTGAAGAAGCCCATGATGCCTCGCGATGAACTGGAAAGGTATTAGGGGACGGATTCCATGTAGGCGTCGGACATTTGCTTTTGAGGTGGTGCAGCGCAGTCCGTTGTTTCAAAAGTGGATAGGTGAATACTAACTCGCGTCCGTTGGCAAGCTGCGGGGAAGATGTGAATCCCCGTTGCCGAGAAGACATGCTTGGATTGGTAACAAGCCTCAGCCAGACCCAGGTAATTGCCAAAGCCGCAATGCAGGTGCAAGGTCCCCGGTACGTGGGAGCGGGCCCGGGACGAAACTGGAGAGCATAAACTGCAAATTGCAGGCGGATTGCGGAGAACAGTCAGTCAGTGAAGGTGCTCGAGCGTCTAAGGACAGAGCAGAGGGAGCAGCGCGTTTAAGGGGCAGGCCCAAGCAGTTAGGAACTTCCCGCACAAAGAATCCAACGGCGCGCTGACAGGGCTAGTGCATGTTGTACGTGTCAGCAAGGCTCGAAGATCATCATCCTCCTGCCCCCATTTCATTGTTCGGCGGTACGAGCAACGGGCGACAGCCTACGCGTCACGTGAGCCTGGCCCCAGCTCCAGGGCTCCGCGGGAATGGGAAGATCGCCAGGGGTTCCCGGATGGCGAGCCCAAGCGGCATGGGCGGAGGGGGCCACGGCGATATTCTGCATGTCCTGAACTTGTGTTTAGGTACAGATTTGGCGTGCACTACTACAAGAGCGACTACCTCGCGGCGATGTCGTCGAGGGTGGGATGCGCGCGGCGTTAGAGGCGGACTTAGAGGCGCTTGACTCTCAGCCAGCCGCCGCCCCGTTGTATAAGACGAGGGCATGTCGCGCGGTCAAGATGGGCCAGCTGGCCAGTTGGACCCTGATTACGCAGTAGTCTCGGTGGCCCAAAGCGGCACGGCGAGCAGCAAAAGCACAACTCGAATGCAGCTGTTCAGGACGAGCACACGCGGTATCGATCAATATCACCATGGGGGCACAACGTGGCACGGTCGAGGCGCAGCACACGCGAGCGCCTCCAGCAGACGCGTGGAACATTGGATCAGAGGGCGGAGAGTGTTTCAGATGGGTACAGACAGTTCTGCCGAGCGGCTGCGGGAGCTGCTGTCCGCCGTACTCGTGGCATGGCCTGCTGCACGCCGTCCTGCGTCTGGAAATTTGGAGCGACGTCGTCGAAATTAGCCTTGCTTCGTGACGTTGCAGGACAACTACGGGGCAAGTAAGGGTAAGAGAAACGTCAATTGAAGTCTCAGCCAGCATAAAACCCGTGAACAGATTGCAATTGCAGCACCGTCACACTATATCCCACATCGCTCTGACATGCCCGGCACTAGGCGGACTAACGTCGAGCTCCCGCCAAGATCTGGAAGTTGTGCCTTAGCTCTGCTATCCACGTCAAGAAATCTGCCCGGGATCATTGCACGGAGCCTCAGGTCGTCCGTCCCCATCTCGTAGCATTTGGTTTCATCTCACCGTATCCTCCGTCACCTCGAGGCTCCGTTTTCCCCTTCACGCCCTCACAGCTTGCCAGCTGTTCCCCACTCCTCTTCACCATTCACCTTGGGCTCCCCGCTGACGTACTCGCCCGTCGCGCCTTCTCCTTCCGCCGACCGTCGTACCTCCTTCCCCAACAGACGTCGCCCGCCGAACCTCAAGAACCTCAATTGCCAGCTTGCTCTGAGATACCCAAGGATACCAGGCTAATCTTGACCCTTTCAGCAACATAGATATGGCTTCTCAACCCACCCCCAGCCCCCAGGCGGCCAACCTGGACCGCTACGTTGTAATCCATGTAGCTACCACCTGCGACGAGCACGGCGTGTATGTTACCAAAGACTCTGCCGAGGTCATTGAGCTCGGTTGGATCCTGCTCGATGCAAAGTCGTGCGAGGAGGTATGTCTACCAGATCCAATGCCGACCTCAATCGCTAACTCAACAACAGCTCCATCGTGAGTCGGTCCTCGTCAAGCCGGTCAACACGCCAATCACGGCCCTATGCAGTAAGTTTGCTCTTCACCTCCATGGTCCACAATTTGTGCAATTTCCGCTGACGTCGAACCCTGCACAGCCAGCTTGACGACCCTCACATGGGACCAGGTCCGCAACGCCGGTTCCTTCCGCGACGCCGTCGACCGTTTCAGTAACTTCTACAACGAGCATATTGGCCCGAAGAACTTGGAATTCGCTTTCGTGACCCTAGATTCCTGGGACCTCCGCGTCCAGCTCCCTCGCGAAGCCCGCGACAAGGCCGTCGTTCTTCCTCCTTACCTCCAACACTCCCGCACCTTCGACCTCCGCACAGAATACCAGAGGTGGCAGGCACACCACCCAGAGTCGCTTCCGTTTGGCTCCAGCGCCTTGACAAACATCTGTGCGGCGCTTGAGGTGGAGCCTGTCCAGTCGTCGGCCCCCATCAAGCACAACCTGCCCTTTCACTTGCAAGCCCTCGCGCCCGCTTCGCCCCGCCGGGCCATGGAAGAGGCTGTCACGCTTGCTCGCGTGCTTCGTGGACTCATCCGCAAGTCGCAACCACCCCAGGACCACCCCGACGTCTTGACTAAGCCTATGGATGCCCGCGCCGACGTTCGCGCTTTCTTATCGGAGCGCAGCAAAGTGCTTCACATGAGCGGTCTGCCCCATGATACTACACAATCAGAACTAGAGAGCTGGTTCACCCAGTTCGGCGGACGTCCAATCGCGTTCTGGACCCTCCGCACTCCTGACCAACACAAGCCCACCGGAACTGGCTTTGCGATTTTCTCCTCCCACGAAGAGGTATGTACTGCATCAGCAATTTCCGCGCTTTGGTTGCTAACATGGAATAGGCTGCGGAATCACTCTGCATGAACGGACGGGCTCTAAACGAGAAGGCCATAGAGGTCTCGCCGTCCTCAAGCCGTGTCATCGACCGCGCTGGCGACATCATCGTCCCCTTTCCTCCTAGCAAGAACCGTCCTCGTCCCGGTGACTGGAACTGCCCCTCGTGTGGCTTCTCCAACTTTCAGCGTCGTACCGCCTGCTTCCGATGCTCTTTCCCCGCCATGCAGCAGGGCCCACCAGGTGGTGATCCCATGGCTTACGGCGGTTACGGATACGGTGGTCACCCTGGCATGATGGGCCCCCCTCAACACCACATGGGTCACGGCCACGGCCACGGCATGGGCGGCGGACATATGCGCGGTGGCACTGGCGCTGTGCCCTTTAGGGCTGGAGACTGGAAGTGCGGAGAGAACGGCTGCGGCTACCACAACTTTGCAAAGAACACCGCCTGTCTCCGCTGCGGAGCGAGCCGTGCCGGTGCTGCTGTTGTGGCTGACTCTGCATTCCCTTCGCCTATGGATACTCCTTCCGGCTTCGGTATGGGCCCTCCCTCCATGGGTGGCACTCCCGGCGGCGGTCCTTACGGTCCAGCTGGCTACGGCGGCGGTGGCTTCCCAGCTCAACAGTACGGCGGTCCTCCTAGCTCTTACGCTTTGCCATCCGGTATGGGCGCCGCTAGCCCTTACCCTCCTATGGGTGCGCAGTACGTGCCCAATGGTGGCATGCACTCCACTCCCTTCGACAGTCGCTCAGCTGAAGCCGCATTCTCTTCTGCCGACCCCTACCCCAGCCAGGGTGCCGTCAACGGCGGTGACGGTCGCAACGATCCCTTCGCTTTCCTTTCGAGTGGCTTCGGGTCTCTTTCTATGAACGACGACCGCCGCAACGTTTCCAACCCCGCAAACAAGTCACCGGCATAAAGACTCTCGTAAAATAGGTATCGATCATCTGGAGCGCGGATCTTGCGGTGCAATTTGATATGGGACGGTTTCTTCGGATAGGCTGGCGTGGGCAAGATTGGCTTTCGGGGAGTTGGACAGCGTCGGTCGATTAAGAATTTGTGGCATTTGCAGGCTACCTACGGCTCGGATGCGTATAGACGGAAAACCTCATTTGACGGAGTTCGATACCTAGGATGGGGGTGTTTGGGGATCGACTTGCATTTCATTTCAAAAGCGGGGCGGATGGACAAAAGTACAACACGGACGGCGGCATACGGGCTTGCTGGAGCTTTTGGATTCCAAGGTCGATCATTTCGTTTGATGTCTAGGCTGTGAGCTTCTCTTTCCATATGCCTTGCTTTTCTTTCTTTTTTATCTGATCCAAATTGAACACATCGCTTCGGCGATCAAGGCGCGGAACAAGAGGCAGCTCCTTAGCCTCGTGTCTTTTGTACTTATCATAGAATTACCTTGCTTACCTGCCCTAATAATTTCCAATCCATCTTGCTCATTACGTGTTGGTCATGATTGCATTGCATGCGGTAGTGGCAACACGATCACGACTGCAAGCTCCTTTGATGTGGTGAGTATTACCGTGTCATATCGAACATGGAAAGCGAACGAGACCTTTCTATAGTCGCCATACATCAGCCGGACGATCTTCACAATTCAAATGTATTCCTGCTGAATTCTCGCTACAAGCAAAACTACTGAATTTTCACAGATAAGGTCACCATGGTACGTAGAAATTCTCCAACCAAATAATGGTGGCCAACCATACAGATCCCATTGACATCGTAGACGCTGCTAGTTGTGGCTGAACATCGCACCACCCACGTATATCTAAAAATGTCCAAATACGGCAGACTATGATGTCCGGCGGCTTGGGCTGATCCGCGCTCGGTCCGACAAGACTACTACATACCTTGGATTGTAGTCTGCGCACGGATTCGAGAGGAACTACAAACACCCTACACGTCATTTGCCCATGTTACAGTCTTCCCAGTAGAGAGCGGCTGATGGTAAGAGGTGGACAGCATTTCACCATATGTCGCCCGCACTGATTCGGCGCGTCGCACTGTGTCCTTGGAACGCGAAATGAGCGTCCCGCCCCTGTCTCCTGTGTACATATTGAACTCTTTCCCAATCTCCACAGTATCTCCGTAATTGCAGAGTTCCCGAGTCTCATTGTAGCCATCTTCGCAAAGTGGCGTGCACCTGATGGCCGTGGTCTACATTCCGCTGAAG